ACACCCCCAAAACACCATTGAAAGACTTCTAGATGTAATGACCAAATTCAGTAATGTAGCTGAATACAAAATCAATACTGAATAATCAACAGCATTCCTGTACACAAACACTGAACTCACTGAGTGAAAAAGAGATACTACATCCTTCACAATAGCGTCCAAAAAAATGGAACATTTAGGAACCAATGTAACAAAGGAAGTAAAAGATCCATACAGTGAAAATTATAGTATTCTGCAAAAAGAAATCTAATAGGAGTTCAGAAAATGGAAAGACATTCCTTGTTTACAGATAGGAAAAACAAACATTGTGAAAATGGGCATTCTCCCAATATTCTTATACAGATTTAATACAATTTCAATCAAATTACCATAAAAGCCATCTATGACAAACCAACAGCCAACATTATACCAAATGGATAAAAACTGAAAGCCTTCACTCTAAAATCAGAAACAAGACAAGGATGTCCATTATCACTACTCTTATTCAATATAGTTCTGGAAATACTAGCCAGAGCAATCAGACAAGAGGGAGAAATAAAAGGAATACAAGTAGGAAAAGAAGAGGTTAAATTATCATTATTTGCAGATGACACGATACTCTACATAGAAGACCCCAAAAACTCCATTAAAAGACTACTAGAGATTAATAAACAAATTCAGCAGCATAGCTGGATACAAAGTCAACAAAAAAATCAATAGCATTCCTGTACACAAACAAAAAACTCACTGAGAGAGAAATTATGGAAATATCACCTTTCACAATAGCATCTAAAAAAATGAAATACCTAGGAATCAACCTAACCAAGAATATAAAAGACCTATCTGCTGAAAACTATACTACTCTACAAAAGGAGAATGAAGAGGATATTAGAAAATGGAAGGATATTCCTTGCTCTTTGGCTAGGAAGAACCAATATTGTAAAAAATGGTCATACTCCCAAAACTGTTATACAGATTCAATGCAATCCCAATCAAAACACCATTAACATACCTTATATATCTAGGGAAAATATTCCTAAAATTCATCTGGAAACAGAAGAAATCTTGAATAGCAAAGGCAATTCTGGGCAACAAAGGCAAGGCAGGAGGCATTTCAATTTCTGACTTGAAACTATATTATGGCGCCAGGAGTTAGCTCAGTGGCATAAGTGCCTGCCTTGCAAGTGGGTGGTCATGAGTTTGATCCCTGGTACAAAAAAAAAAAAGAAGAAAGAAACTGTACTACAAAGCCACAGTAATAAAATCAGCATGGTACTGGCAAAGAAATAGACCTGAGGATCAATAGAACAGATCAGGAGATACAAACGCTACTACTGACCCGGCCTGCGGGTAAGTCCATGGAGACCCTAGAAGGGGAAGTGGGGATGAAAAAGAAACAAGAGACACAAAGAGCAGAGACAAGATGAGGAAGTCCAAACAAGTCTCATTTATTCACGGAAGGAGTAACAAATATATAGGGTATTGAGGAGGAGGGATTTAGGTTCTGAGACATCAGCAGGTAACTTAGCAACAGCGGCAAGACTGAGGGTTATAGGTCAAATCAAATTTCCCGGACACAGACTCATAAGGTGGAACTATGTTCCTGAATAGGCCAAACAAGCTAGGTAGGCAAGGTGCTGCTTAACTACCAAACTTAACTCCTAGAGGGAGTTAAGGTGGTGCGGCCTGCAGATGTTAAGGTAGTACGGCCCGCAGATGTTAAGATGGCAGCCAATTATAGGGCTTCCCACATACTACAAAGACTCAGCCACCTTATATTTGACAAAAGGGCTAAACATGTTCCCTGGAAGAAGGTAGCACCTTTAACAAATGGTGTTGGAAAAATTGGCTTTACACATTCCAAAGACTGAAAATAGACCCATGTCTATCACCATACACTAAAGTCAAAATGGATCAAGGATCTAAATATTAAAACAGAAAACAGTAAATCAACTGGAAGACAAGGTAGTTAAAAACCTTGGAGACACAGGGGTAGGGAGAGAATTCATGAATAAAATGCAAACCACATGGGAAGTACTTCAAAGAATAAATAACTGGGATCTCATATTACTAAAAAGTTTTTGCACTTCAAAAGAAATCACCAACAGAGTGAAAAGAAAACCCACAGAATGGGAAAGAATTTTAGCCAACAATCCCTTAGACAAAGGACTTATATCCAGACCATATAAAAGAAATGAAAAACACCAAGCCCCACAAATTAAAAGACCCTCTCCAAAAATGGGCATCTGAGATGAACACACATTTCTCAGATGAAGATATACAAATGGCAAATAAATATATGAAGAAATGTTCACCATCACTGGTCATTTGAGAAATACAAATTAAAACAGCATTGAGATTTTATCTCACCCTGGAAAGAATGGCTGCCATCAGCCATTCAACTGATAACAAACATTGGCGAGGATGCAGGGAAAAAGAAACACTTCTCCACTGTTGGGAGTGCAGACTGGTGCAACCTCTGTGGAAATCAGTATGAAGATTCTTCATAAAACTAGGATTGGAAGTTCTATTCAGTCCAGCTACTCCCCTCCTGGATATTTTCCCAGAAAAACTGAAAAGGTCCTATCACAGTGATATATGTGCACCCATGTTCATAACAGCACAATTTGTAATAGCGAAATCTTGGAAACAACCAAAATGCCCATCAACCACAGAGTGGATGAAAAAGATATAGAATATTACTCAGCTATAAAAAAGGATGGTCTTGAGGCCTTCATAGGTAAGTGGAGGCAATTGAGACTATCCTCATAAGAGAAATAAATAAGAATCATATTTGTAAATATCACATTGTATCTCTCGTGTAAAAAGAAATAAGAACTGTAGGAGTAATAAAACCCAAAATGTGTAATTGCTATTATAAAAAAAGAGGAAAAGAAAGCGCTCTAATGGATATAACTGCATGCATGTTTAAGTGCGTAGGACAGATAACCACATTACTAAGTTTTCGCTGCATCTTTGAACAGAACTGTTTGCAGTCTCAGTGAATGTCTACTTTGTATGCTTTAATTTTATAACTTGAACAACTATTTCTAAGATGACCATATGTAATTTATCAACTAGTGATTTCTGTTTTTTGAAATTCTGTATTATTTCTATCCTTTTTATGATTTGTTTTGGTTTTCTCTTTAAATAAATTTTTTTTAAAAAAAGAAATCAACAGGGTGAAAAGAAAACCTATGTACTGGGAAAAAATTCTTAGTCAACTGTCCCTCAGACAAAGCACTTCTATCTATAGAAGAAGATAGAAATATATATTTTCTTTAGAAAATATAAAGAATTTTTAAAAATCAGACTTCCAAAATTCAAAGACCCAATCATAAATGATAATGACATGAATTCATACTTCTCTGATGAACACAAATGGCAAATAAATAAATAGTTTTCAGCACCATTGGTCATTAGAGAAATACAAATTAAAACAACCGAGATTCTTACTCTAGAAAAAATGGCCAAGATCAAGAAAACAACCAACAGCAAATGCTGGAGAGGCTATGAGAGAAAAGGAACTCTTTTGCACTGTTGGTGGGAGTGTAGATTGGTACAATCACTGTGGAAACCAGTCTGGAAGTTCCTCAAAAAGCTGGGATTGGAAGTCCCATTTGACCCAGCTATCCTGCTTCTGGGCATATTCCCAGAAGAAATGAAAACATCATACCACAATGATGTATGTGCACCCATGTTTATAGCAGCACAATCTGTAATAGCCAGATCTTAGAAACAACCCAAATGCCCATTAACTGAGGAATGGATGAAAGATGTGTTATTTTTATAAAATGGAGTACTTAGCTACAAAGAAGGATCACATTGAGGCTTTTATAGGTAAATGGATGCAACTTAAGAGCATATTCATAAGTGAAATAAATCAAACTCACATGTGTAAATACCATATTACCTTCCTAGTGTTATGAAACCGAAAGAGTAAATAAGATACAAAATCTACTGTGAACATTGTGAAAGGTTAAGAAACTGCTCAAAAAGGAAAAATAACTCATAGCGAAAAGGAGAAAAGAAGGACAGGAAAAGAAAAATGATAAATTTGTATAAACATACTTAAGATAGCTAAGATGATTGTACTAATTCTATTCTTGGAACAAAACAGCTAACATTCATAGGATTAGATCAATTTTTCATGTCTATAGCTGGTGATCTCAGTAACTTTTGAAGATAAGTATGCAAAATAACAACCTGTGTTAAGTTCCTACCATCTTGTTTTGAAAGCCCATATCATTAATGTTTTGGGTTTTTTGTTATTGTTGTTTATTTTTCTCTTTTGTTTCTTGTTTTTCTTATATTTTGTTTTGTTTTGTTTTTCCCTCTTTAAAGTAAAAAAAGAAATAACACTGATAAATTATTTCCATATTTCATGGCACCTAAATTCTTCAAGGAAAGTTTCAAAAATAAAAAATACAACTAAATTTACACTTAACACAAAAGTGTCTATTTCCTACCACCTAATAATATGTTTAATTTTAGTAAATTCAAAAAGACATCCTTAAGTTTTTGTCTTCGGAAATTTATATAGCAAGGTAACTGTGTTTATATGAATAAAATTGGAAATTCCTAAATATAAATTTCACATTCATGTTTTAAAAATTCTTATTCTTGAGTCAGGTATTCAGCTTAGCGGCACAAGCACCTGCCTGGCAAGTATGAGGTTGTGAGTTCAGTTTCCAGTACCAAATAATAATAATAATAATATTCTTGTGAGGCACTTTTCAAAGCACTTTATACATATTATTCATTAAAATAGTCCTAACTTGGAGGTTCCATTACTAATTTCCATGTTACATATGAAGCATAAAATGTAAAAACAAGCTACCTGTGGTTCCATAGCTAAGATAAAAGCAGTACTAGGATTCAAAGTCAAACAGTTTGGCTCAAAAAAGCCAGCTCTTACCACTAAACTGGAATGACTCAAAATGAGGCACCTTTAGCTGCTGCTGGTCTCATCACTGCCAAAGTGCAAACAATGAAAATTAACAAGGAATATCAAAACTTACTTTTTGGATGGCTTCTTCCATATCCAACTCAAACTGCTCGTCTTGTAATAATCTGAGGAATCTCTTGTGCTCAACACGGTCATCATTTTCACTCTGCACAGTCTGGTTCCTGACTCGACTCTCTATCTTTTTTAGTGCTTCGACATCCAATTTTTTGCAGTAGTTTCGATCTACTAAATTTTGATGCCTTTCACTAAAGCTCCAAGATCTCCTTGCGGAAGCCTATAACAGAAAAAAAAAAAAGTTTGCCTACTTCAATATTCCAAAGTCTTGTCCGTCTATACCAAACGATATAAAAACAGGTAGCAGTTTTGGCTTCCTTCAAAATATTAAACGTAGCTGCTTAATACACTGATGCGTCAAGTAAGAATTAATACTATTTTATGGATGAGCATGAAAAGTAAAAGTACTTAAAGAAAAGTACTCCTAGGATTCAAAAACAGACAGCCACGGTTCACAGATCCAGCTCCACATCACCACCGAGGAATTCATTCCTCCTCTTGGCTTATCCACCACACCACCCTATGGCCACAAAGTCCTATTCAGAAGTTCGTCAGTTTTTCCTAATATAGATCTCCTGGGTCAACCGCTGCTCTCCTGGACTTTTATTGCCATTCATTTGTGCTGAGAATCCACAGGCAGATTTAACGATGTATCTAAGACGGGGGGCGGAGGGGTAAAGAAAAGGAAGGGAACCGTGGCGAGCGTTCGTAGAGGAAAGCAAATACAAGTTTCCAGCTTCACTCCCACTTTATGCACTTCCAAATCTTTTTTAGAAACAGGCGAGCTCTAAACGATAATTAAACACAAGTAATCTAGAATCCCCCAACTTGCTCACCATCTTGGCAGACGAAAAGTCAAGTTCCTCCACGCAGGTTCCCGAAGATACCAACTAAATCCGCAGTAGCAAACGCCTCTGCTGCTGCGCTTTTGTGTTTACAAGGTGTCCGGGCAACAGCCACAGCCAACCCGCTCAGTACGCTGCCTCCCATTGGACGAGGCGAGACCCAATCGGCATGGAGCTTTCTCAGAGCCGTGGGAGGGCTCATTCCACTGGCCTAATAAGTCGGATAGCGCCAAATTCAAACCGACAGACACCTGTCCTCCGCTGGCCGCTGAGGGCGCTGGAGGTTTCCCGCGGACCGCTGCACTTTGGTGCTTAGGAGGGTTTCCGGAAGAAATCATTTTCAAATGAATCCCCAGCCAAAGCTGAGTACGGAAGCTCCCGCGCGCGTCTTGCGCCCTCCAGCCTCGCCGCTGGCCTGAGGGCCGGTTCTCGTTCCCCGGTTCTGGTTCCGTCCCGCAGCCCAGGGGCGGGCAGACCTACCAGTCCCTCCCTTCACAGACGCTGTCAGTAAACTGGGGTCCAGATGCCTTAAGTGCAAGCGTCTTGCGCTGCGCTGTGTTCCGAGCGCAAGGAGGGGGCCAAGTTCACAGATGGTGCCAGAGTTTTGGTCTGCTTTGTTTCACTGGCAAACACCGAAGTCCGTTTTACATGGAACTTAAGAACAAGACCAAAAGTTAGTCAGATATACTGATACACTTTGAGAAATCTGGTCAAAAATAAATTTGTTTTAAAACGTAGTCTGTAGCATAACGATTTAACTTGAAGTAGTGTCTTTTTAAAAATTAATAACTTATTGAACTTTAAGTTTTTCCATGTGTCGAAAGCGTGGAAATCATCTCTCAACTTTAACCAACCAAACCCAACCAAACTAAGACAAAATCTCTACAAATTAAAAATCAATGACTTTTTTTGGGATCCCTCATATTAATGAGATCATAGGACAGACTGCTAGGTTTTTCCAGCCCAATAGGAAAGAAAAAAGAAAAGAAAAAGGAAGCCTTTACTTAGGAGGTGGAGAGGAGTTCACAGCTCCTGGGGCTGGGCTTGTCCTGTGGCCAGGGGGACAGGGGTGAAAGGTTATAGACCTCTGGCCGGAGGCGGGGTTTGGGGCTGGCGCTGACGAGTGTGGGGAACTGGCTGGAATTTTCTTCAAGCCTGCGGGGGAAAAGAAAGAGGAAGTTGTAATGAGGGCTGAGAAGGAAGGAGAAGGAAGTGGCCATCAGGAAAATAAACTGGCCTTGTTTTGGCCTTCCACCGTGTTAAACCACTGCGATAATATTCAATAATTTATACTAGGGTAGAAAACTTTCACTAACTACCCGCCTTAAAATTTGGAGTGAGTGGAATCCAAAGTCCAAGACAAAGCCTACTTACCTGGAGCAAAAGCCACTGGAGACCTCAACTAGTGTGGCCACTTAAATGGTGATTTTGAAAAGTTGCTAGGGATTTTCCGCGGACTAGCATGACCCATTGTTAATGGGTCCTTACCCTTCCACAAATTGTACCTTCAGGAATTATTTCAGGTTCTAGAATGTTTTAAAGCAGGTATTGTGATGCCTCTTGCTTTGATCTTGTGCTCCAGAAGGATTTGGCTTATATAACGTCTCATAAAGTAGCCTTTAACTAAAAAGCTGTTCACTGAGCTACTATCAAAAATTTTTGGTTTGAATACTGATGTATTACAAGCACATTAAATACTGCTTGGCAGACAGTAAGTGCTGAGTATTTGTTAAATCAGCAGATGGTTGAAATAACATTACTGTGATTCATATAAAACTCTACCCACAGACTACTTTGGGGAATTATTGTTCTTATATAGTCCTGTTCAAGTTTTATCAATTATATTTATATTTTTGGAGAATAAAACTGCCTTCACTAATTTTCCATTAATTTTCTATTTCCAAATCCATTGTTTTCTTCTTTTCCTATCATTATTCCTTCTTTTTGTTTGCTTTTGGTTTATTTTGCCTTCTTTTCCTTAGCTTCTTAATGTGGATGCTAAAATATTTATTTAAATCCATTCCTTTTATGAATAAATGTAGAAGTTTTTCTCTAACCCTGCTTTAGCTGCCTTTGACATATTTTAATATATTGTAATTTTATATTCACCCATTCAAAACATTCAGACTACTTCTTTAACTCTAAAGTTATTTACAAATGTTTTGTTAACTTTCAAAATATTTCAGAATATCTACGTATCTTTTTAAAACTGATTTGTAGTTTAATTCCATAGTGTCCAGAGAACAGACTTTGTAGGGCATCAATTCTTTTAAGTCTGTGGAAGTTTGTTTTATTATGCAAAATATGGTCTGCCCTCAAAAAGTGGTCAATAATCTGGTATTGTGGAGGAGTATCTTATAAAAGTCAACAAGGCTAAGTTTGTTGTGGCTGCTGTTCAGGTATCCATATAGTATTTGTATTTTATCCATTTTTGAAAGGAGTGTTAAGGTCTTCATGTATAATTGTGGATTTTCTTACTTCTCTTTTCAGTTCTATATTTTTAACCCCTATATTGTAAGTTTCTGTTGGTAGGTGTATACATCTTTAGGATTATTGTTATGTCTTAGTAACCTTTTGGCATTAGCATTCTAGAATAATCTTCTATTTCTGACACTACTCTTGTTCTAAAAAATGTTTGTCATACTTGTAGCCATTCTAGATTTCTTTTAAGTAGTGCTATATGGTGTATCTTTTGTTTTTAACTTTGAATCTATGCCATTATATTTAAAGTGACTTTCCTATGGAGAGCATATAGTTGGGGTTACTTTTTATTTAATCTGACAACCTCTGTCATTTAATTGGTGTGTTTATGATATTTACATTTAATGTCACTTTTAATGTAAATGGATTAGTAACCACATTTCATTAGTTTTCAAATATATATTGTATCTGTTCTTTTTTTGTTTTCTCTTTTTCTGTCTTATTGTCTGAAATTTCATTTTATTTTTGCTATTGGCTGATTATTTCTATTTTATTATTTAAGCTCTTTGTGGTGTCTTCCAATTGTCTGAATACTATAATCCTGCCACACTGTAAAACCTGACATTGCTTCAGTTCACCTTTTGGGACGCTGTTATACAATTTACTTTTACATATGCTGTAAATCCATAATACATAGATTTTTACATATGTTATATTGTTTGAAATTGTTTTGGAGTTTTCAAATGCTCCATTTGTTTTGGTTTTTTCTAATCTTTCTCTTTATGTTTCAGTTGGGTAATTTTTATTACTTTATCTTTAATTTCTGCCTCTTGTGTCTTCTGATAAATCTGTCAGAGATGCACTTCATGTTCATTATTTTTTCAATCTAGTATTTCCATTTTACTTCCTTTTAGTTTCCAACTTTTCTGCTAAAATCATTCATCTTTTCATATAAATTGTCCACTTTTTCCATTACGGTCTTTAATATGCAACGTTAAATTTTTCTGTCTAATAATTTCACCATCTGGTTCACATGTGGGTTATATTCTGTTGGGTTGTGTGTGTGGGGGGGGGGGCAGGTTTAAGAGACTTTTTTTCCAGTACCGGGGATTGAACTCATGACCACATGCTTGCAAGGCAGGCACTTATGCCGCTGAGCTAAATCACCAGCCCCGTCTTTTTACAGGTCTATTTTTTTCCTACTGTTTTGTGGGACTCGTGGTTTTTTTATTGAATGCTGGTCATGATGTAAAATAGTGAGGACTGAAAGACCTGTGCCTGAGAACAAGCATACCTCTTCTTACAAATTCCTAAGGCAGAAGATCCAGTCAGTTAGCCGGAGGTCAAGCTGGATTTGAACTTGCCGCTAGAGTTATTTTCAGTACTATCTCCAAAGTTCTCCAGTGTTGTCTGCTGCTCATAACAGCTGGGACTGGTTTTCCAGCAGATTTGTCTCGATGTTGCATTCTACCTTGGCTCCAGGCTTTCCCTTCGTTCTCGCATTTTACAGCCTTCTCTCCACATTCTTGCTCCTCATCTGTTAGTAGCCACTTTCTTGGGGGCTTGTACTTACTAGATGGATGAGGGCAGCGGGAGTTTCTCCGTTTGCCTGTCGCACTGTTTTTCTGGGGACAGGAAAAAGTTGTAAGTTGGAAAAACATTCCTTAATATTAGAGAACATTCATATTTTGCTTATTGCCTTTAAAGAATGTTCGATATCCTCACCCTGGTTTAAAAGATTCTGTGTCTACCTCTTCGGGTTTCTTCTTGAAACGAAATGTGGATTTCTTTTTGTTTCTGTCTGCCAGAAAGCTTTTGTCAGTGTAAATCAGTCTGCCTAGGAAGCTCCTCAGTTTATTCCCTTAAAGAGAGTATGTGATGACTGAACTTTGTCCCCGTCTGTAAGACAACATTATGCTATGAATGCAGAGCAGAACACCAGAAGGAGCCTTGGTTCTTGGTAACCACACGGCTACCACATCAGACTTGGACTGACTCCCACTCTAGGTAGTGTGAACGAAAAGTAAACAGCTAACATGTCTGCGCCTCCACGCCCGCTCTTCCCCTCCAAGTCTACTGCTGTTCATCTAATGCTGCTCCTCTAACGTGAGTCCTACTGGATGTGACCACTATGTCCCTTATGTCTCTTACGATGAAATGACTAAGAAAACGAAAATTTTACAGCATTGTTTTTCTAACGAATTTTTGTTCTGCATATTATTAATAAGTAGAATGCAAATACCTGGTCTTCTTTTTCACATTTTTCTCTCCCTCTTTTATCCTCCAGAATCTGAGTCCCTTCCCTTTTACCCGGGTCTCAGAGTCTGGATCACAACTTTTGATCATTGCTTTTATTTTTCCAAAATATCCACACAGCATTTACCTATGACTTGGTACCTCCAAGAGCCATGTCATTTTGAATTGGGGAAGCATTTTCTATTTTCAGATCTCTTACAGATAAAAATGTAGACAGGGACAGAAACCACAGGGACACTGAACCACAATGGACACAGCTAAAATATCTGTCAATAGACACAAATCCTCAAACTTCGTATTTGATCATTGAACTAGTTATTAATGCATCAATTTTAATAATATGCTACCAATAAGAACTTATTGGGAATATTTTCCAAAATCTCTTTACTAAAGTCTAAATACATTATTATTTCCCTTATCTGTCTAGCAAGATCCAATTGATTTATTGGC